ACTGCAAAGAAACCAGGATTTTTTTCCTTTTACATTTTGCCTCTAACACTTTTACAATGATCAACTGCTTAATTTCTTCCTTCCTTTGCAGAGTTAACATTTTACTTTAAAAAAAAATTACTTTCTTACTTTTCAAAATGACACTTTTCCAACTATTGTCCCAGATATCGAAATTCTCTGTGCCGCGACTTACTACTTTCTTTACTTCCACCACTATGCCTCTCAGCGCTCCCAACCTGTTTTCCAATTTCTTTATCTGTTGTTTGCCTGCTTGTCTGGACCTGGTCTTATTTTACTCACTGAGCCATTACTTTCCATGGGTACAGATTTTGTTCCACTACCAGTTTAGCAAAGAGGTGATCTTCTCAATTAGGCTATGTCTAGACTGCAGGCTTCTTTCGGAAGAAGCTTTTTCAGAAGAGATCTTCTGATATAAATTCCAAAAGAGAGCGTCCATACTGCCAAAGCGCATCAAAAAAGCGATCTGCTTTTTCAACAGATAGCGTCCACACAGAATGGACGCTATCTCACATTTAAGCTGCGATTACTATGGGCAGAATGGTCCCCAGGACACCTGTGCTTTTTCTTCTTTCCTCTTCTTGTGAAAGAACTTTCTCTTCCCTGTCCACACACGCCTTTTTCCAAAAGAGCTCTTTCAGAAAAAGGCTTCTTCCTCGTAGAAAGCGGTTTACCAATGTTGGAAAAAGCCCTCAGTTCTTTCGATTTTTTTTTTGAAAGAATGTGATTGCAGCGTGGACATAATTGAAGGTTTTTTTTTAGAAAAAATTCAGTTTTTCCAAAAAAACTCTGTAGTGTAAACATATCCTGATACCTCCTGCTGACTTTTTCCATTTGCTTTCTTTTTTGTTGCATTGGGGTAGTTATTTTGGCAGTTAGATAGCAATCCTATCTGACAGAAGTCACAGTATTTTGCTATTCATTTACTATATTAGGCTTTATTAGTTTAGTTTATGGGCTGTGCTCAAACCCCTGTAAAACTTGTTTAAACAAAAGGTAATGTTTCCTGATCTTTAGGGGCATCTTTAGTTTGCCTTCTCTTAAACATTTTCTCCAACAATATCAAATCACACAATGATGCTCAAATTCTTTATATTAACCCTATTTCTCCAAACTTCTGTGTTCTTCAAAGTTAGTTCTTTCACTTATGAGAGTTTATGTGCCAAAACAGAGCAAGAAACTCTAGGTTATTTTCTGACATAAAAATAGTATTTGCCCAAACTCCTATATCCTTCAGAGTTGGGTCTTACATAGAAAATACTAGCTGAAACACCTATATCGTTCAGAGTTTACTCCAGAACCAAAACAGAGAAATTAGCTCTACGTTCTTCTCTTTACTATTTGCTCACTATGATGAGTATGTGCACACCAATTTTACAATAAGCATGGTCTCCGCCATGTTCCCTTTCTACAATTCCTGTAGCTTAAGGAGAGAGTGTGGTGGGCAGGAAGATCATCAGTGCTGTTAATGTTTTTATGAAGTCCCTAACCTTATTATTAAACAAGTCCCTCATATTCCTGTCCTAAGGGAAGGTAATTATTGTCCTCTACCCTTTTGCAAATAAGATAACCAAGAGTCCTCACAAGGTCATTTCAGGCATAACTGGGAATAAAACCTAGAGCTCTCATATGACAGAGCCAAATTTCATCCATTTAGCCACAGTGCCTTTTAGTAAGCAATGTCTGTACTTGTCTCTCTGTAAACACTACCCTCCTAGAGCCAGGATTAGAAACCAGGAATCCTAAGCCACACAACATTCCACTGCTGTCTTACAAAAAATAGTTGTGTAATGCACTGGCAAAATGCGTATAATCTCCTTCTTTAAAGGCTGTTCCACATCCAGGTAACATAAGCAGATATCTTTCCTGCACCTGGATCAGCCCTTCAAGAAAAATATGGCACACACTTTGCCAGGGCACTACACAATTATTTGTAAATCAGTATTGGAATGTTGTATCTTCCACTTCAGTTGTAAGAAGAATCCCATCAACATTAGTGGGAATTGTAATAGGCACTCAAACTGGGATTTAAAAAAGAATGCAAGAGAGTTAGGCTACAATTGAAATTCATTGAAATTGGGAACCTAACTCCCCTTAGGTACCTTTTTATATCCCAGACTTATATGTGGGGGTGGGATGAAGTGCTGGGCTTTTTACATTGCTTTAGACTATGAATATGTATGTATGTGTATGAATTTCTGATTCAATAAAATTCCTGACACTTAAGTTCTTAGTTTATGTGGTATGTTAACAGCACAGAGAAGTTGATTTTAAGTAGTCTTAAACTAGTGTGAGTTTAAAAAAAAAACCAAAAAACCCTTGCAGCTGTTAAGTAGATGCTAAGGCAGGCCCATTATAAAATGTACTATGGTATGCTTTAATGATTCAGATACCAATAAGTTCTATTTTTAGTACCATTGACTCAGACAATTTGTGTTCAGATAATAAGCCGTGAACATCTGCTTATTGAAAGAATATCCTCTGCAATTATTTCTTTTTAAATTTCATCCTTTTAAAATGTATTTAGGGAATTTGTTTTATTTTTTTGATTTGCTGTTTCTATTTATGCTGCAGTTAGTAGTGTAACATTTCTAATAATTTGAAAGTAATAAATATTCAAAGAAAATATACTTAAAAAAACTAATGCAGTTGAAAAATAGCAGCAATTCCTGCTTTACTTGTTCCTGGTTTCTTTTGCAAATTAAAATAATGACGGGTCTTCCTTACTGGTACAGTATGTTGTACTGCTGGGATTATCAAATATTACTTTAACTGCTCTCCACAACTCTGATCCAGTATTGCAGTCAAAATGTTTTACAACTATTTGTCCAAATGTTTGTAGAGCAGCTGTACTACTGGTCTGACTGAGTCATATTCCTTCATTCCATTTGGCTGTGCAGTATGATTCGTCTTTCTTCTTTTAGAATATTTGTCTATTTTTAAAATTTTGCACAAGAAGGCAACAGCAACTCAAAATAAACACTTGCACTCTTCCATGGAGTAGCTTTATGCAAGTAAAAATCTTCAATATATTGCAGGAGAAGCCTAGTGAGTAGATGATGGAGAGATGTTTTTAATAATAATGCAAACTGTGCTCTTGGAATATTAGTACTTGATTTTGGTACCTAAACTTTGTTTTACTTGTGTTGCCCTTTTCTTAACTTCATTTTTCATTAGCATAGTCCTCACGTTTGTTTATTTGTTTACATCCCTTCCCCTGTGCAATACAGTATGAGTAATGGTAAGGCCAGCTCATTGCCATGGATGTCCAACTCTTTCTTAGTTAAAGCAAGGCTTTGAGTGTATACTAACAAGACAATATACACTCTGCATATTGAGTCTGAAACAAGGTTGCTCATTTTGCCTATCCCCCACCACAATCTCTGTGCTCCATGATCATTGATAGCAAAATGTGAAGGTGCAAAATACCTGGCAAGATACTCTGTGTAAGCAGACCACTGCAGCCCCTCAAAACCCAAGGCTCGATGGGAGCACAGGGGGCGGCCAGCACAGAGCAGTTTGCAGGCTCAGAAGTTTTCTGCTGCGTAAACCCTGATTTAATTGTGCCATTGCATACGACAGACTCTGAAAGCTAGCCAGTAATGAAGATCTGTAACATGCAGCAAGATACATAAAGAGTGCACTCCGATCCAAAATGTAGTGCGATAATGATTATGACTATGAGTAATGAATATTTTTCTTTGAGTGATTGCTCATGTCCATTCCAAATAGGTGTTTGTCCATCATAACAACAGGTAACTGTTTTCTTGCCACACAAGTATGCTTCACATTTCTATTCTCAGTGCAGTTCCTACTGAGCAGGGGTTTTCACCTCAAAACTGGCATACCTGGCATTCAAGGATACCTGCTTGACAGCCTATGTTAAAAAGCCTTTGATCTGATTGAGCCTAATAGGTGAATTAACCTCATCCTTGCAGGTGGATCCTTCCATGTCAGAGTAAAAGATACATAAGTAATGAGACATGGAGAAACTTGCCGTCCTGTTGTCTGTATTGTCTCTGTAACAACACAAAGAACCTGTGGGCTGCGTCTAGATTGGCATGATTTTCCGGAAATGCTTTTAACGGAAAAGTTTTCCGTGAAAAGCATTTTAGGAACAGAGCATCTAGATTGGCACGAACGCTTTTCCGCAAAAGCACTTTTTGTGGAAAAGCGTCCGTGCCAATCTAGATGGGCTTTTCCACAAAAAAGCCCCGATCGCCATTTTTGCGATCGGGGCTTTTTTGTGGAAAACAAATCTCAGCTCTCTACACTGGCCCTTTTGCACAAAAGCTTTGCGCAAAAGGGACTTTTGCCTGAATGGGAGCAGAATAGTATTTCTGCAGGAAGCACTGATTTCTTACAGTAGGAAGTCAGTGCTTTTGTGGAAATTCAAGTGGCCAGTGTAGACAGCTGGCAAGTTTTTCCGGAAAAGCGGCATTACATTTACTACTGGGGGAAACTTTCTTGTATTTTTAATTTTGCCCTAGTAAACCATAGCAAAAAAAGTCATTTTCAAGACTTTAGAAGTTACATTTATAGTTAGGCCCAGCTATGTGATGTGCTAAGTATCACCTGCAAGGTGATGAACTCTCTTCACCTTTTAATGAGGTCACATGCCCATTGAAAGCATGGGTATGGCAGAAACCTGAATTATTTGTACTGTAATTTGGAAGCAGGAGATAGAAATTGTCTGGATTTATTGACTGATTGATTTACTGTGCTATAACACATTCTAGAAATGTGACTCTCAAAATTATTATAACACAAAGTAAGGCTCCAGTCCTGCAAAGACTTAACTTTACACCCATGAGAAGTTCCACTGAGTTCAATAGGACTGTGCAAATGTTCCAAGTTAAGTGCATCCTGTGTTTGTAGGATCAGGTCATAAGGGCCAACATACATGCCATACCATGTCAACTGAGCATGTGAAATGCCTTTATAGCAAGTGTTGTCTTTCATAATGTGTATTTACATTTCAGATGATACTCCTCCTGAAAACAACTTTCCCTTGGCTTTTCCAGAATTAGAACAGCAACTTCAGGTAAACTTCTATTTTAATTTTAAACTGATTCTATTTCATGTAGACTAGATTTTAAAAAAAATCTTGAAATAGTATATTTGCGCAGCCAGAGTTAAGTTACTGTGAATGTTTCAGTGGTGTGCATCTGATCTCTAAAAATGTAATAGGACTGCACACTTGCATAGAGAGAGAAACTCTATCAACAAGGAAATTGGTTTTAATTTTTAACC